TTGGTCGAATCCGACGAACAAGTCGTAGATGCCGTAGCACGACCGGCCTCCGAAGGTTTCCGCATAAGTTTCGACCCGAGGCGGAATAGAGGCGTCCTTGATAGTGGCGGCGTTGAGAGGCTGAAGATCGTGGACCAAACGGAGAGACTTTCCATCCTTCTTGAGAACGCAGAACCAGCGGGACCGGTACGAAGAACTGGACTCCTCGTAGACTCCGGACTTGATCTTGTCTCGGATGACGCGGACGACCTCGTCGTAGATGCCCGGAGGAATGGGAATGTTTCGGAGTGCCCAGGGAACGTGCTCGATCGTCGGCATCACTACAGGGTCAAACCATTCGTCAGAGAACTTGCCTCGTTCATCCTCGGACCATGCGAAAGCGTCCTCATCAGTCCGGATGAACCAGTGCGCGAGTTTGATTTCCTCGGGAGAAAGCCAGTTGTCCGGATCGACGGCCTGTTTGTCAGCGCGTTCCTGAGTGTACCGGAGTCCCGGAGTGAAGTCGGGTGGATGAGTAGGAAGCGGGAGGAGGTCGGCTAAGATGTCGGGAGGTTCGCGTCGGACAATCCGATACTGTTCGGGCAGGGTAGTGGAGACGGGTACTGTGCGATTGGCGACCTTCCGATAGGGCTTCTTTCCGTATGTTGGCATCCGTGCAGTCGCTGCGAAGACTTCTGCTGTCGGGGTCGGTGCGGGATCTTCGGATGAGGCGGGCGGAGCGTCGGTGTCGCTATAGATAAACCAGGATGTAAAGGTAGAGTAGGAAGTAGTGGTGAAAAGGGGAATATCCAAATATGAAGCACTCCGAGTAACGCCATCTTCGATGATATCAACAAGACCTGAATAGATCCGTCGCTCATCCGGCAAATCGTCATACGCGCAAGAAGAATGAGTATTAGGTACGGCCGGAGGGACACAAGTATACACCGGAGCCATCGGGTCGAGCCCGGAATCACGCGGAGCATCATATGTACTTTCTCGGTCCATGGAAGGGGGGACAGACAGAAGGGGAAGTGAAGTATCGGACACGGAAGGGGATGTATGATATAAAAGTGTTTTCGGGTAAGTAACGCAACGGATCGGAACCGAAGAAGGAGCGGAATCGGTTAAGGATATCATAAGAGAGGAATAGAATGGGGGTATAAAAGACTCGTCTCGCCACAGGGGTTCCTCGACGGTATCTAAAAATGCTCCTTAGGCTCTCGGGAGCGGTGGACTCTTTTGAAAGTAGGGATGAGGAAACGACGGCTCGAGTTCGGATCGTGTATGGTCAAGTCCTGACGACCGTCGGGGTAGTCGCGGGTGACAGCGGACGTGAGACAAAAGAAGGGGCGTCCGAGGAGTACCTCATAGGGCGCATCGTTCACGATCTGAGCTTGGACGTAGAGGTCGACGGGTCCGAGAGACATTTTCACGTTGTGCGCGAGTCCGATGGTCTGGTTCGAGGATAGGTTCGCGGACTCCATGGTGATGAACTTGTCGATGTCGATGAGCAGCCCGAGATTGTCGAAGACGTCGCGGCGCATGGCGATGATCTGCGATCCGGTGTCCAGGATGCATTCGACCTCGTACCGATCGTTGAAGATAGGCCGGATGATCCGGAGTGACTGGGTCGGAGCTGCGACAATGCATTCCTTGTTCGGATCGCGGGTGGCGGACATCAGAACCTCCACGACGTCTTCGGGGTCGTCGTAGCACGCTGCCATGTTGACGGACGCGTAGTTAGTCTCCGTAGAGACCCGCTTCGACGAAATGAGATCCCGAAGTCCTTTTCGGGCATCAAACGAGAGTGCGAAAAGTTCCCGTTGAGTGATAGTGAGCGTGGTGTTAAGGGCGCGTTCCAGGACATCCGAGGCCACCTTCGGATTCTCGATGTTCGACTGGACCCGATAGTTCGGACGGTACGTCGTGCGACCGGTCTCAATGGCTTCAGCTAGCTGAGAACGGGCCGAAGTGGAAGGGAAGGGGACCGGAATCGAAGGCGGAAGGGGTGGCTCGGACGGAGCCTTTGCCGGAGTGCTCGGAGTCGTTTCGACTGGTTCGGAGAAACGGACGTCCTTCTTCTTCTGAGATGAAGCGTACTTTTTCGCTACGTCGGGCATCCGCTGCATGAGAACCTGCAAGAAGATCTCCTCTTTCTCTTCTTCTTCCAGATCAAACGGGCTCGGAAGCTCTTCGATGAACGCCCGAGACTCGGACTCGTCGGCCTCCGTATAGTGGTAGGTGCTAACCTCGACCATATTCGCGGACGCTACTCCGGAACTTGTGGCTGCTGGGGTGACGATCGGGTGAGGAGGGGCATCGCGATCCTGAGGTCTATTGTTGGCTCTCATCCAGTTGTCGATCTGCTCTTTGAACGAGTCTCCGGGGAAGGAACGATTGATAGTCTCTCTGGTCGGGAGCACCATCCATCGGCCTTCTTCGTTCCGACCGATCCACCCGCTCCGTTCGTATCGGGCCGCATCCGGACACGAGCCCATCGTGTGGTAGACGGAATGACAGAAGTGACACTTCCGGGGGGGTCTCGGATCAGCCCCTTGTGGTGCAGGAGGCGGAGGAGGACGTGATTGCTGATTCTGGGAAGATGGGGGTGGCTGAGGCGGATACTGGTAGCTTTGTTGGGGAGGGACGGGTTGATAAGCGTATGCTTGAGCGGTCGGAGGCGGGGGATACGGATAGAATGAGTTCGGATTATACGGATATTGCGGAGGAGGAGGAGGATACTGCGGATGCGTTTGCTGAATGGTCATGAACTGCTGCATCATAGCTTGCAGGGCACGGATGTCAGCGGATTCGGTTTTGACCGTAACCGGAGCCGTCGGACTCACTGTCGGAGATGTCGAAGACGTTGTGAGAGTCGCCGGAGTCGACGTTCCGAGAATAAAGTTTGCTTCCGTATAGATCTCCGTGATCGTGTAAGGATCGTCCGGATGATGCTGCATGTGGACCATCGCCAATCTGTCCTTGATTTTCTGACGGGTGATCGGATCGAATCCTGCAAGATAGTCTCGTCCGACGTCCTGGGTGGAGACGCTATTTTTGGACAGAAGCCAATTGGCCGGAACGAGGAACTTTCGGTGATAGACTCCGAGATCATCCTTTGTGAGCATCGGTGTCTGGGACTGGAGAGCAGCAATGGTGGAGAGATCGGACGGACGCCAGCGTCGTTCGTTATCCGATCCGGGGTAGAGCTTCCCAATACACGTTTTGAAAGCATCCCAGTCGTCTCCGTCGGCTGCATCGCCACTGCTGCGCCAGATCTCCCAGTCGGAGTCGTCGAGATATCCGATCGTAGCTCGGATGAGATCCCGGCCTTCGACCTGAGCACGGGCAGCGAGGTACTCTACTTCCGAGAAGAAGCGATGGAGTCCTTCGGGCTTTCCGTTGAATTTCGGAGCGGTATGGTGACCGCGGACGGGCATAGTTGTGGCCATTGTAGGAGGAGGAATAGGGGAAGGTGAAGAAGTGGGCGGAAGATTTTCGGACGACTCGGTGAGCGATGAGGGTGTTCCGGACGTAGTGTCGTTTGACTCCGGAGTGGGTCGGTGATAAGCCGCGGCGGGATTATAGAACAGACTGTGCCGGAGGGATGGAGGATTAGGGCGTGATAGGATGTTCGGATGCTCGGATTCTGGGCGTCCGGTAAGTGCGAACTGCCAAATGACGGTGTTGGGATCGGGAACCCAAGAGCGGACTATTTTGAACGGAAAATATTCGGATGTCTTCCGGAAGAGGTAGTTGATAGCCCGTTGCGTCGGACCTTCCGGAAAGATATCGTGCAGAGGATCGGGAGGGGATTCGAATTCAATGACGGAATAGGATGATTAGGTGACGGTGGAACGGGTGGGGTGTCTTGAACTTTAAACCCTCGCGGTGGGCTCCAGAATGTAGTAGTGAATGTACGCGTAGACTAGTAGTGTAGTCTAGTAAAATGCGAGGGTCCGCCTCCGGCAGGACAAGTCCGTGCGACACCCGCGTGAGTAAAGTGTGATAAGGATGAGTCCGAGAGTGAAACGAACAACTGAGAAACTTCGGACGCTTCGGACGGCTTCGGATGCCTTCGGACGCGCTCGGACGCGAACAGACAACTTGGCTTCGGATAGTACGACGAGGACGGCAGGAGAATGACAAGGACGGCAGGAGAAAGCGACTTCGGATCGGACTCGGGCTCGGACTCGGACAGCGGCGGACTCTGACAACGGATGAGAAGAAAGGTTCGGACGGCTTAGAATCTGACTCGATGTGGGGGGGAAACAAATCTGATTCCTCTAACTACGAGTACAGGAGGCTTTTGTAGCTAAGAAAAATGTCAGATGAAGGAAAAGTCCGAGACGAAAAGGCACCAGGAACGAATAATGGTGCTAGTATAGTCCAAGTATTAGAGTCCGAGAACAAAAGATATACGAAAGATTGATCCGAGCTGTCTGATCCGTTATCACGTGTGGCCGGTACGGGTTCGTGACGTCCGAGTCATGTGCGAGCGTGTCCGAAGAGTCGGAGAGGGGGCGATAGGGGATAGGGGAGGTCGGACTGCACGGAACGAAAGGGTTCAACCCTTACATTACCCGCACAGGAGAACCAAACAGTTGGCTGCCATACGACTTGGGGCAGGAAGAGAATATCAGAGACATCAAGGTCAATTATCAAGCACAGGGTCCTGGAGGGAGCATGGAGTATCTATCGAAGTATTCCCCCGCAATACCTGCACTTCGACAAGTCAAGGAAACTGTGAACAATCAGTTCGCTGTGTTAAAGGGCCGAGGAAAACGACATGGTGTACCGGATAAGGAGGCTGATGTCACAAAGCTCACTGCTTCCTACGTGGAGTCTACCCTCTATAGTGAAACTCCAGGGCGTAGAATAAAAGGTGCAGGTGATCATGCCGGTGATTATGTGTCAAAAGGTGGTACAAATTTATTGGAGTCACATACCATACCAGACTGGTTTGCAAAGCGTACATACACACGAGCTACAACAGAAGATTGGGATACTTCAGTAGACTAGGGCAAATGACGAGGAGGGGTAGTGTAGTTATAGAATGATGCTGCCGTCAAAGGAACCGAAAAGTTTCCATGCACCATAGAAGTCGATTGCGCAGTTGGTGTCGTTGTACTGAGCGGATACTGATAGAACCCATGCATGGAGCCAGCCCATTGCTGTGGAATTGACATGCCGGTGCCGTTTGGGAAGGTGAATGAACCGGATGAGGCTCCGAATGTACGCAAAGTGTGTAAAGGTGTCAGCTGAAACAATGTTGGGCATGAAGGTGCATGCAAGTCGGGCGAAGACAGTGGAGGAGGTATGTTCTTGCTCTCTGCAATGATATGCTTGCTGCGTGAAGGTCGGGGCTGCCTTGGGGCCTTTCCCCGTAGTGCACGAGCAGCTTCCTGCTCAGCTTTCTTCTGTGCTACTCGCTCTGCCCGTTTTCTCTCCGTCTCCTGCTTCTTGGCCTCGCCACGTCCCTTCTTTGCTTCTTCATGGTTAAGGCGCCATTCGAGATCGAAAGCATTGAGTTTGCATAGTAGTTCGTCTCCGTGCTGCGAAACTTGTCAGAAAGCAATACCTGCACGCCCCATGGTTGCTTTGCGTACGTCTTCATCCAAGTGCTTCGGCACCATTCAGTTAAAAGGCTTCTTGCATCCTGCAGGTGAGTGTCCCGACAATTCGGAATGCGTTCAACAGCACCAGAGGCTATGATTGGCATTGATCGGATTGGTCGTTTACCACAGGCATTTATTTCCTCACTTGGTTCATCAACTCCGAGGTCACCTGTACTCTGTGCATTGTTTGTCAAATGGTGTCCTGTTCAATAATGTGTAATGCGAGCTTACCTGCGACTCTATCATTTGTGGGCTATGTGCAAGTTCGGAGGAGATGGGCAGCGTCTCTAACAAGGCATGAGAACGACCTTCCACATGGAGACAATTGTCACAGCACACGTCTGTGGGAGCTGGGAAGTAATGTCCGTAAGTGACAAGCGCTGGTTCTGGCACTGAGGAGATGACTTGTCATTCCTCCGACACCCATCATCTAGGTATTCAGCCGCCACATCTCGACGACATCCTTTTGTTTCAATCCATCGACGTAAACCAACGTCAACATCTTTACGGTACTTCAAGCTTTCGTCCTCCTCATCTTTCTTCCGCGCTGACTTCACTTCCTGGAAGACAGTTGGTTGCACTAGCAAGATCGCGCGCGCGTTGGTCTGACGATTTCGGCCTGCACGGCCAGCTCTCTGCATCCAAATGGCCAAGGACTCAGGGACCATGAACTGGATTACCTGTACAATATTGGGAATATCACATCCCTGGAAACTTCATCAGTATTGTGACGCGCTGGCTGTATTCAGAGAACTTACCATTCCTGCCGCCTCAGTGCTCAGCAGAATCCTGATATTGTCGTTCCGAAACCTCCTGAGAAGCTTCTTCTTGGCTCGAGGACTCCTCTGTGAGTGGTACACCTGGATATATGGATGAGACACACGGCTCGACCTCTTTCTTAGGTGCTTCAATGCCTCAATTGCAACATTGATTTTGTCGAAGAACACAAGTGTCTGCGGAACATCGAGCACCGTCGTGTTCTCCGCCAGCAGGAGTGAACCTAAGGACTCCAGGTCCTTCTTGCCGCCTTTCATCGTCCATGTGAACCAGGCAATATTTGGGCGGTCAGTTCCTAAATGAACATGGTACGTGTACTCCTTCTCTAAGTGGACGTTGTGGCGGACTTCTGATAGGATAGGCGAAGGCAGCGTTGCAGATGTGACCAAGAACGGGACTTGGACTGGGACAAAGAATCGCAGTGTACCCAGTTTAGCGTACTCCGGCCAAAAGTCCTTGCCCCACTGTAAAATGCAATGTGCTTCGTCAATGACAATGCTGCAAATCTTTGCTGCAAAATCCGGAGAACTCAGAAGCTCCCTGAATTTCGCATGCTGGAGGCACATCTCCGGGGATGTCACTGTAAGGGCAACCTCAAGACGGCCGACAGCGCAGGCCTAGCAGAGGGAGAATCCAAAGAGATGAATAAGACTAACTACAATACATGAGAGAGCTGCTCACCTAGCAGAGGGAGAATCCAAAGAGAACAGGATGGGGATTCTCCATGCTAGGAAGCGAAGTATATACTGTAGTAGCGTGGGAGGAATGAAGGGTAACTGTACAGTACACCAGCCACAGGTACAAACGAATATCACAAGGTACGAGGGGGCATGTGATAATGAAGTGGAAGGGGAATGTACAGGAGCCGTGCCAGCGACCTGGGGGAGTGGGGACAAGGAATAACGAAGTGGGAAAGGAAGATGGAGGTAGCCCGGACGAGCCCCGAAGTGTATCTATGAGTCCGAGCGAGTCCGAGCGAGTCCGAGGCGTCCGAAGCGCAGGAAGACTTCGGAGTCACCGGACGAGGCTCGGATGCGAAGGGGGTGAACGGAAGGGAAGCGGAAAGGAAAGGGGACGAAAGGAAAGGAAAGGGAATGAAATAAAGAGGAAAGGGACGAGGAGGAAGGGGACAGGACAGGGGGAAAAGGGGAAAATAGGAGTGTCCCCTTACAGTCACGATGACTTGAACTCGGCCCTTCTTCATCTCCTTAACATGGTATTAACAGTGAGTTCATCGCTTCGAAAACGTGCCATGCTTACAACATGCATTTTATCATTATATGTTTCCCCATTAACTGGCAACTGCTAGTGCTTTGAGCCCCATCCCGCGGAATCGCTCGGCCTACATATGTGAGTGGTTGCAGTCGCCGAACTTGTCTGCCACTGACCTGATCCTCTTCCAGCGCGTTAAGGGGTGATATGACCAGGACCACTCGTTGGGGTTGAACGAACAACGGCATGATGAACGGCTTCGTTTTACCAGCACCGGTTCCCGCAATGACAGTGCAATCAAGTCCAAGCAAGATGGCTTCCGCGACGTTAATCTGCCAGGGATAGGGCGTCTTGCCCGGATTTTTTTGTGTAAACTCTTCATGTATCTTGGCTCGCGTCAACGCCGAATCATATTTCCTTCTTCTCGTCGCAAGTAAAACAGCTTCGCATAATAGTCGCGCTGATTGTCGCGTGTGTTCTTCGTGCTCTTCTTCTCGAGTTCGCATTAGGAGGCGGCGTTGTGGACGCGCTGTGGATATACAAGGCAATCGTGCCCCATTCTGTGGCTCAGGATGGTGACTAATCTACAAAATTTATCATATGTTTCTACAGCGTGACATCAACCCCCCCCTCCTCTACGAGTTGCACCAGACCTTGTAGAGCAAGAGTCAGTCGCGAATTTGAAACGCCGACGGTCTCGCGCGGACCACAAGGACTGGAGCCGAGACTAGGAATTATGACCGACGGAACGCATTTGCTCGAAAGTTTTGACTCCGACTTTCAAGTCCGCCTGGCTCTTCCCCGAAGATTAGTAAAATCCCGCATTACAACCCTAGACAACAAACGTCGACCTTTGTCACGTGCATATCACTCATGTCTGGTGGTTCCACTCTCGCTCCTCAAAGCAATTCTTGTCTCAGGACATGTCACAAAAGGTGGGGTTTGGAGCCCATAGTAAGGATCCCTTTCTCTACTGTGGCGTCCTGTTCATTTGTGTCTAGGCAATGTATACAAAGACGAAGGAGGTCGATTTGTCGTCAAATGGGCCCTTCCTGACAGTGTCCGCCAGCTTCGCAAAGAGAACACTGTTTATCTTCGGCTTCAAGGCACCCCTGGGATCTTGAAACACTATTCCTACGGTGAACACTCTGGTACAGCGTATCTCACTCTAGAGTATGCCGGAGGCTCCCTGTTGAGCATGCTGGATATGGCTGTCCGGGGGATAGGGTGCTTTGATTGCTTGGACCTGGCGTTCACCATCGCCAGTACTGTGGCAAGTTCGATCGTCTTGTCTGATTGCAGATTACACTAATTTATTGTCACAGCTTCCCATCCTTGTATCCATCCATATGCAAGGGGTTATTCATGGGGATATCCATCCTGGCAACATCCTTGTGTTGAGCTCTGGCATCAAGTTAATCGACTTTGGCTCTTCACGATTTTCCAGGGATTCCCCCAATGCCTCCTTCAACTATGCGGATACCTATGGGTATTCCCCCTACTACTCAGGTGTAGAGCGCATTGCGCATGGCCTTCGTATGTCCAATGCAACTCTCTTTCTGGTTTAACTCCTGGCTTATCAGATGATAGCAACCTTTCAGGACGATGTTGTCAGTTTCGCTTACACTTTGGTCCATGTGGCTGATGGGGGCTGTATGCCATGGGACAACGACTTCGCAGAGGTCATGGGCTCAGACCCCAGCCCGCAACTGATGGCAGTACAACTTATTGTCTTGAAGAACAGTTTCTCCGCCCAGCAACTATGCAAAGGGCTTCCTAATGTATTTGAATCTTTTCTCACCGCAGCTTTGACCTTTCAGAAGGTTCGTTGGAGGTCCTTCAACTACAATTACTGGAGGGAACAATTCAACATCACGCCTTATTCCGAAGTACATCCTCCTTCCAAAAGATACCGATTTTTGAAGGGCTTGACAGAATGAAATGTAGATGATAATATGATACCATGATGTGTAGTTTCTCTTGATCAATGTATGTACAGTGCGAATGTCAATCTTTGGAAATATCAAGTTGTCAAGAAAAGTACAGTATCCTTGCATACACCATGATGCTCAAGGAGAGGATCAATTCAGCGGACATTTTCGGAAAGGGAAACCTACCAATACAGACACTAAGGGTCTGTTCAGGAGCGAATTTCGGGTGATAAAAGTTATCAGGACCTTCCGTATATAGCCATCATGATATTTGTGATGATCGTGACCAAATGTGACGGTTTGTGTGATGACTGCCCCTATTACCGTGACTACAACGCTGCCATCGATCTCCCTTGTCCTCAACAATGTCTGCTACACCGGACGACGCTTCACAGGCGCATCGAAGAAACATTCTTATGGCTGCTTCCAGTATTATCTACTCTGTCACTGCAGCCGCTGCTCTGTATGCGAGCTCATGGTACTGGAAGCAGCCATATCACAATTCAGCATTGTCAGGTGCAGCCTGGGTCAAGGAGCTGATCAACGGCCATCCTGATCGCATCAGAACAGAGCTTGGGATGTGTGTCCATGTCTTCCTAGTGCTGGTTGCTGAGCTACGTCTGCTGGGCATATCAGACTCCAAGCATGGTGTTTCCGTTGAGGAACAGGTCGCTATTTTTCTCTATGCATGTGTCACAGGCCTCAGTGTTCGCCACATCGGGGAGCGCTTTCAACGTTCGAATGATACCATTTCCAAGTGAGTTTTCTTACCGTGGCTAATTCTGCATTTCATTTGATGTGTTATCAGGTACTTCTGTTGCATCCTTTTTGCGGTCTCCTCTCCACCATTTTACACATCCCATGTCTGCCTTCCTACGTCAGATGATCCCATACCTTCGGCTATTCTCAACAATCCTCGCTGGTTTCCTTTCTTCGAAGGCGCCATAGGCGCAATGGATGGAACACATATTGTTTCCTGTCCATCAGCTGCTGAGCGCCACGCTTGCCGCAACCGCAAAGGATTCATGTCCCAAAACTGCTTAGCGTGCTGTGGATTCAACTTCAAATTTCAGTACATCCTTAGCGGTTGGGAGGGCTCTGCTGGTGATGCATCACTCTACCATGAAGCACGTGCAGAGGATTTGCCAATTCCGAATGGTAAATACTACCTTGCAGATGGTGGATTTGGTGGCTGTGATACATTGATGGTTCCATACCGTGGTGTCCGGTATCATCTTGCGGAATGGGGGCGTGCTGGCGTAAGGTGAGCTGCTAAGTTGTGTGTACTATATACCAAATTAACTTCACTGACAAATCTAGGCCGGCCAACCGGGAAGAACTCTACAACCTTCGTCACGCCTCAGCACGAAATGTCGTTGAGCGCATTTTTGGTGCATTGAAACAGCGATGGGATATTCTCAACCACGCACCGCAATACAATATGAGTATACAGGCCCGGGTCCCACCGGCTGCTGCAGCAATTCATAACTTTATCCTTGAACACGACCCAGTCGAGCTTGAAGATATGATTGCTGAAGGTATTCAGGATCCCAACCCTGGAAGCATGCCCACCGAAGACTTTGGTAGCCTTGCTGGAGGGCCACCGAGCAATGCCGAAAAGGAACGGGCAAAGATAAAGCGGGACATCATTGCTCAGGCAATGTGGGATAACTATGTTCAAGTACTACGAGAGCGTGGCGAAGCAGCGGAGCTGGAGTGATGCTATTGACTAGCTAATCTAAACCATATAACATATCTGTAATCCATAATTTCGAAAGCTCCTCTGATTCTAAACTCATGTAAGCAAGTGCTGCATCTTTATCCTTTTGAAAAAGCTTGACCATTCTCAACTTCTCCTGTACCGACAACCAATCCTGTGTCCGCTGCAAATGCTGCATAGCAGTCTGCTTGCGAGCAGGTGATGAGTCCAACGCCGGTAATGCAGGCACAGATACAGAGACAGAAGGTGTGGGCACCAGAGCACTTGAACCCACCAACGCTGATTGGAAAATGCTGCCAAAACGGTCAACAGATTCACTTAAATTGAGGAGCGCGGCTGGACCAGTCACATTGCGAGGTTTCTTCTCTGATTGCGTGGGTGGGAGCGACGATGTTGCAGAGCGCTTTCGCATGGGTGTGGTGACAGTATCCGTGGTGCGGTGCGCCTACAATGGAGGAAGATAAGAATGAGAAGAAGCATGGTGTAAAACAGGGCTTACCCCAGTAGATATGGACTCCACTGTTAATTTTGTCGGTTTCGAAGCTTCGCTATCTTGAAGTGGTTCCGTAATCGAAGGCTAGAGAAGCAAATAAGTACATTCAAATGTAGTAGCATAAGATGAGACACACCGTAGAACGTCCCGAGTGATTCTCTGCATCTGCCGCACTGTCCTTGCAAATGTCCCACTCTGGACTGGGCTCACGCACTTGCTCACACTCTCCAGGGCCGCTTTCAGTGGAGAGAAGTGTCGCCGCAGGGTTGGCAGTGCCTTTCGAAGTGCGGTAGGCATGCTGTCCTTTGGCCGTAGATGGCACAAGCGCATCAAATGCTTCGAGATAGACCCAGCCCTCGTTGCGGAAAGGGGCCGCCTTGGGATAGCGTGTCACGTAGGCTTCCCAGATGCCCGTTTTCTCGTGAGTGATATTCGCGCCGTTTCTGTTGTCCCAGGACCACCCGGAGTTGCCTTGTATAGAGCTAACAAGGTCGTACACAGCCTTGAGCTTGGATTCCCATGAGTGTGAGAAAAAACATTCACAGAATACTACTCACATTGCGGTATTTGGTCTTGCAGGTTTCTGCCGTCTTCGGTGCACCCTGGCTCCGGATTTTGTTCACCTCAACAGCAACCTGCGTAAACACAGTTTTCGTAAAGTTTCCACCTTCGCCCGCCTCCGCTACATGGACTTTGAGGCATTCCAGCATGCTGACAACATCTTTATGGGACCAGGACGTGCGGCCAGATTGCGGTGGAGGCTGAGGAACAACATTTGGGGGGGTAGCAGGTGTATTAGAGGGAGCAGACACGTCTGACATGGGGGATTGGTCGTTGCAGATGCAGTTGTACGCACGACACGTAGCACCGGCGCTCAATGTCACCTCAGAATTCCTGCTTACTATATACGGAAGGTCCTGATAACTTTTATCACCCGAAATTCGCTCCCGAACAGACCCTAAGCCCTCGAAGAATCAGGATCGCAAAGACATATCCACAATAAACCCCTTGAACATTCAGCCGCACTGCGATTGCATAAGTAGAGGGGCATCGGATGTTCAAAACGCGAAGCGTTGCCTACTTTGTCGGGCTATGATAGAAGGGCGACAGTCAGATCAATGGACCTGCCCCGCCTCAGAGAGTACATACTCCAGAACATCTCCTGGGCCTTCGAACACGTTGGGCCACTTGTAACCCCCAAATCCATCGCAAGTCAGCACCACCGCGCCTTCTACAGCACCCCTCAGAATCCACGACAAAGTCCACGGTGTTGGCCATGACCTGGCGCAGGCTGGCTATCGCGACCCCATTCATAGTCGACGGAAAACGGGGAGGCATTTCCCGAATGCAGACCTTTGCGGGGCGGTTTGAAAGGGTTGCTTCGCTGATCGTGAAGATGTAGGATATATTGTTCGGGAAAGCGCTGTACTGGAGGAACACATTGTTCTTAACTTGCACGCGCGACTGGTTGTAAACATCAAGATGGTACTGGAGTACCCCATCTAGCGGTGTTGGACCCAGCGCCTCCCTTCTGTGTGCCTGGCCTGCATCGTTGAAACGCGGGGGTTTGTCGTTGCGAGCCTCATAATCGTAAACGTTTGAGAAGATATCAAAGGAGCCGAAGCGCATGGTGGGGTTTCTTGAAGCGGAACCGTTGAAGTAGTTCCCGAAGATAGTGAAGCACATCTTGCCTAAATCTTAATCGGCTTCCTTCGTTCCACCACGGAGGAGCAGGGATTTTTGGTGGTTTCGGATGACTTTGTAGGAGAAGGTCACATTGTCCGTGCCATCTTCGCAGTCGAACAATCCTAAGCAGGAAGGCGCGACTCAGCATCCACCCCAACACCCGATACCATCCCAGCACCTACCACCAAAGTGATCTACCTATGCGTATACTGTAAGGGGACACTCCTATTTTCTCTCCTTTCCTTCATCCCATGGACTCTTACCTACATTTCCTTCGTTCCCCTTTGTTCCTTTTCGCTTCCTTTCCTTTCCACTTCCTTTCCGCCCACTCCTTTCGCATCCGAGCCACGTCCGGTGACTCCGGAGTCTTCCCGCGCCTCGGACTCGCCTCGGACTCGCTTCGGACACCTCGGACTCGCTCGGACGCTTCGGACTCGCTCGGACTCGTAGATACACTCCGGGGCTCGTCCGGGCTACCTCTATCCTCCTTTCCCACTTCATTACTCCTTGTCCCCACTTCCCCAGGTCGCTGGCACGACTCCTGTACATTCCCCTTCCACTTCATTATCACATGCCCCCTCGTACCTTGTGATATTCGTTTGTACCTGTGGCTGGTGTACTGTACAGTTACCCTTCATTCCTCCCACGCTACTACAGTATATACTTCGCTTCCTAGCATGGAGAATCCCCATCCTGTTCTCTTTGGATTCTCCCTCTGCTAGGTGAGCAGCTCTCTCATGTATTGTAGTTAGTCTTATTCATCTCTTTGGATTCTCCCTCTGCTAGGCCTGCGCTGTCGGCCATCTTGAGGTTGCCCTTACATATACACGCGATGTAAGTGTTTTGCACAAAGGCTTTGTATACAAAGACGACTGACCTGCGGCCCAGGCTGGACAATCTCTGGTTCCACATACTCGCCGCTCAGTTGATCCTGAAGCTTGCAGTTATCGACTCAGACGTTGCTTGCTGTAACAAGGCCGACAGTGTCGTACCTATCGCGTGTTGCCTCAGCCAGCTCAATTGAACATGCGACAATGGACTTACAAAGCGTTCCACGAAGAGGGAAACGTCTCCGGCGCGAGGAAGCAATCCTGCAGCGGCACCAGCTTCAAATTCCGTATCCAGATATTATGGAAGGACGAAAGGCATAGATTGATCTCATTTAACGAAGCATTACCATTCAAGCCAATCAACGACGTATCGTTTGTCAATTTGTATCTCACTTGGGCTTTCTGTGTCGCAGCTACAACGGGGCGATACCCGTTCTGATGGCTGGAGCAAAGTGTGGTATTCTGTCGCATTTCGCCCCTTGAAGGTCGTATTCTGCGCAACGGCTTGATTGAGTGGCGTTCAAGCTGAGCAGGTAGGTTTCGAAGTTGAAGCCGTGTACCGCTGAGCTGGGCGAGCCAGTCATGTCGATGTAGTTCTGACATGTTGCCAGCGTACATGTGTCGTTCAGTCATGTGGGGACTGCTCCTAGAGAAGGGACGGGCTAATAGACTCACCATCAGGACACTGGTTCTCAAGCGGACTACTGCTATCATGTGTTTCGCGCCCGTTGAACCCTCCACGAGCGGGATCTTCAATGTCGCTTCCCGACGCGGTCCGCAAGTGAGCATCCTTTAGAGCGCAGCGCGCAACGTGCATCTTCTGGCAGGAAATCACCCATGGGAAATGCCGCATCGTAAGCTTCTTCCATCAAGATCGACATCAGCCATGGGAGTATAATATGAGGCGCTGACTCTTTTGACTTATTCACACTACAGCCAGACCTGCCCAGTGGTGCTCGAATCACGACCTCTGCTCTCAACGTGCCCACTCTGGACAACGATGATCCGTCGCTTAGGGACAGACAACGCTCTCGCGAGCAAAACATGACTGAAGCACTTTTTTCAAGTCCCAGAAGGCGACGCATTCGCCACAACGACGAGAACACGCCACCCATGACTTTCGTCGCACAAACGCGGGCATCCTCTCGCGCTTCAGGTGGCACGACACCGTTAAGGCCAATCCAAAACGTATGAAGGCTTCACATCGCCGCTCTGCTTAACATCGCTAACCGTATGTGTAGACCGTTTTCCCTGGCTTTGGCCGCGCGACACCTCCTGCAACTCAAGGCCCCCGTGCTGCAAGTGCTCATCAGCGGGGTTCCGAAACATTTTTGACTGCCCCTACGAGCGTTCCTGATCAGTGTACGGCCGCCACTTTGAGTCGACGAGCTCAGGCCCAGCGCGATCGCCGTGCTAGGGAGCGTGCACAACGCCAGTCCGAGGCTCTAAATTCCGAGCACAGTAGAAATTCGTCTCGCTCTCACATTCGGGTAACTGAGCCATTGACGCCGCCAGCCATGCAGCCCCAAAATATTGTACGAGCGCCTGGTACATTCCCACTTCAGACGCCTTCAGTTAACGCGAAAACTGACTTGCTGCGTACTTAGCACCAGTTGAGCCTTTGATGCTGCCTATCACGCAGCTTCCAAACGCTGTACGCGAACATTGTACGCTCCCTCTTCAGATATCTATAGTCGGAAGGAAAAACTGACTGGCTTTGTATGTAGCACTGGCTGAGCCTTCGACGTCGCTAATGTCACAGCCTGCGAACGCTGCACGCGAACGAGGTACGTTCTTACTTCAGCCGCCTTCACTCGCCAAAGGACTGACTTTCTTTGTAAATAGTGTCCGAAATTGGTATCATGACTCCGCCCCAAACACAATCTCACCCTAGGCCATCGCAGGGTGCGTCTGCCTTGCTCTGCGATGCGCGTCTATGTTTGCTAATGACTTTCTTGCAGCTGTAGGTGGTAGAGGTGCCAGATTGCAGCAGTGTTGCTGAAGCTGCGGCTGGTTTGTTTATGGCTGCCCACCGGCCTTATCGAGAGCCTGAGAGTAGACATGACTTAGGCAGAATGGATGTAGCTTGCACACATTGCGGCGCCCTCCACTGGGCTGATGAGCGCGTCAATCGCAGTCGTCGAACCGCCACTCCAGAGTTCGGAATGTGCTGTGATCCTCCCAAATGTTCCCTCCTGCGTCTTCATGATCAGCGAAGCGCCCCGCCAACGTCTGCATCCGGGAACACCGCCCCATGTTCGGGCGACTATGAATGGGGTGGGGATAGCGCGCCTGGGCCGGGCTGTAGCTGGTATTGTGGGTTTGTTTGTGAATGCCGGGAGGCTGTGGAAGGTGGTGGTGCTGGCTTGCGACGGATTTCAAGGGCTACGAGGTACCCAAAGTGTTTGAAGACTCGCAGCATGTTCTGCAGTACGTGCCATTGGAGGCGGGGCAGGTCCTCTGAACCCGTGGTCGAGTAGCCAGCCAATGTCGTCGTGCATTGCCAACAACCTTCTCGCCAAGTGCCAAGGGATGCGCTCCCAGCAGCTGTTTATGTGAACATCCCCGCTACGGGTAACTCGTCATCACACTCCCTATGGCTGACCCACAAAGCCATGGCGGGTCAATATATTTGCTCAAGGAATCAGGAAATCCAAACTCCCCTCCTCCCTCCTTTCCGCGGAATCTTTCCTTAATTTTGGTGGGGTTGTTTATATAGACCAACAGTCCATCAGCCTTTAATCCTGGTCATCCACAAGCTCGATCTCTTCCCAACATCGCGATCGCGATCGCATGAATGGGCGTGCTGGCACTATCAAGGGCTTGAATCAATTATGTTGCATCACCGTATAAAGAGGCTATGTACATTGCGGCATCCTGTCTGCCCCATGTTTGTTACTTTGGCGAGTGAATCACAACTCATGCTCGCGTCCCCACTCTCCTCACCATCTTAACACCGCTTGTTTGCCGTCAATAGTGGACACGAATCACTCTGCCTCGTCGCTCGCCCCATGGCTCGCCCCAGACCTTGACATGACGGAGATCACGACTTCAGCACCATCGACTGTTGGGTGTTTGAATCGCAGTTCACCTGGGGCGGACGGAAGGCCACTTGGGTCCACGACAGACGGGACGTCCTCATCGAGGGCCGTGCGGGCGTTCAGGATCTCCAGCAGCCAGGCGGTATGTCTGTATGAATATTAGGGAACTTCAACCCCACCTTTCCCAAGTGAAAAGGACGTACAGTGATCCGCTGCCATGACCGCTTGAGTCGCAAGATGAGTAGGTGTAGGGAGCGAAGAAGCGTAGCCTGACATACAAAATGAAGTAGACAGGCATCCTGAGATCCAGCCCGGGCCGCAGCCACAGGATTAGCTGCACCGTCATCCAGACGGTCAGGATGAGCCCGGTTTCGTCCCGGGAGAGACCGTTTCGGCTTGAGGATTGCTGCACCACCTTGGTGAAGCTATATGGATGATAGGTTCTTAGATGTTGACGCCACACGGTCTACGCTCGAGGCAATATTGATCGCGAGCCACGCCTAATTTGAAACAACCTGCCGAGGATATTAGCCAGAAACCCGACTCGATGAGGGACGCAAGTCGTGTCGTACTTGGAATTCCGGGCTTGGCGATTCTGCGAGGTCATGGCGGTGAATAGCGGCCAGGGATTATTCTACTCACACCCTCTGCAACAAGTTCGGTAATGTTGACATCTGTTCGACTTCTGCGCTCGGTAATTGTGTCTTGGCCGCAGCTTGAAGGAGGTGGAGGGGGGGAGGGAAGTCGAAGACTTTATACTTCGAGGCAGTACGGTCCGTACATTACAATCGTCGCAACAGAACTTGATCACTATAGTCCCCGAGTGCTGGCCGTGTGCCGGAAGATTGAAATTTTGGTGATACTGACCATCATTTTCCATCGAAGACCATTACGTACTCCTAGCGTAGCAGGTTCATCCGCAGTCGCGTAGTCGATTAGGAGTGACTCGAGGAGCGGGGTAGTCGGTGTGCGCCTGCGATAATCATATCATCCATCATTTGGCACTCCGTTGATGCATCATGTGATGTTTGAATATCAAGTCAAGTCACTCTGCGCTGCATGTAGTCTTCACTCGTTACTTGCCATGATTCCAGGAGCTGCCGCAGAGCCATGGGATAGTTTTCCCACTATAGGGTACATGCTCGTTCATGGTTGTAGATCAATACATATAGAAGAGCACTCACTTTGATTTTATACTCGTATTGAGCATAATTCTTTTTCTCTGGGGGTAATTGGCCTGAGAAGGGGATACCGTCCGTCGCAGACAGGCGCTTAGCCTCGAGGATATATTCTGGCCCTCCGTGAGTCGAGTGTTTAAGATACAGGTACTAGTAAACAGCATACCAATAGTGTATTCGTCCATCGTAGCCTACCAAAATGGAGAGTCGCCTGTTTACAGAGTCACTGAGAGTGTTGCGTAAAAGATTTTCAGGCAGCGGTTCAACCTGGTTCAACTGAGGAAACCAGAGGCTTCTACTGACCGAACGAACAAAGAACACGAAAGGAAAGTCAGGGAAGTCTGTCCGAAAAAGCAGCAAAACGAGATGGGCAAGGAGGCCAAAGTTTCGCGTTTACTATTTGTTCGTATTTGTACGGGCATATCAACCAAAATTGCGAGCGTAGCTCGCAATCATATAGGGTGCGCTCGCCAGAAATCCTCACTCTGAAGCCAGACCGAGACGTAGCCATCCCCTGATAATCAGAGAGGATGCTGCTTTGGGTGCAACACAATCTCAGGTGGCCTGCTAATCAGGTTCATCTCGTGTCTGCCCCGATACTCGATGAGGACGCGACGCGTGCTGAGACCTCCGAAGCATCCATGACTTCTGGGCCACACGCGTTGGCGCTGCTATTTCTTCTCTTCGCACTCATGCCAGTGACCTGCAGGCCCAAAGTTGGACATCCAAAAGGCGCACGGCCTCAAGGTTCACCTCGTGAAATGCCAGCGGAAACAGAACTTCGCGCGGGCTGCTCGAATTGCTACAGGGGTCAAGTATCACTGATACAGGAACTGGTGGCAACGAGGTGAGTTCATCATCGCTTCTCGCAAATTGCAGAACTCAGGGCCGCTTGGGGCTGACTGTAGGCGCAAGGTGTGCATATCATCGAACAGCCAGTACGTGCCCACGAAATGCTCCTATAGAATGCATTCACCTGATGATGGCAATTGATAGGGTTCTCCACATCGAACCATCCGTAGCCTGATGACCCGCTGCACAAGGATGATCATCAGCCATGGGTCAAAGCGGAAAAGAGAGAAAAAGGAAGATCCATGACAACTACACAACGAATGCGAAGAGATGATGCGGCAAAGATTGCTCACCCAAGGCCGACAACACCTACGTATGTGCCTCGGAGTGGAAGGTCGGACCATAGACGCTAGTGACACCTATGAAATAGAGCGCCATAATGAGCGAGCGAGTTGGGAATACGGTGGGAGACATATACGTACCAGCACGAATACGCGGGGCTACGGCCATGGCAGAACGCACATTTGTTGTCCACAAGGCAGTGCGCAGAGAGTACGTCTGCCATTTCCACTGCTTCGTCGACGTTTTGGCACCCTTGACGTCGGCACAAAGCGCTTCGACAGATCTTGATGATGAACCAGCGCCTGGACAAACGCCAAGTCTCCTCCGAAAGACAAACCAACTCTGGATAACGGCCTTAGGTAAGCCTGCTGCACGTCTGTCCTCATCGCCTCCCGTTTGGTGTTTCGTTCATGTATTTCCACTCGTTCCCGCTCTCGCTCTCGCTCTCGTTCCTGTTTACTGCCATCCACTAACCCCCACCCTCCTTCGCAGCCCGCAGCTGCAGACACTGGCAGTCATAGTTGATCGAGACCCACGGTGAACGGGATGGTTCGCGAGACGGTGTGTCTCTTTCAACCTCCCCCTCGTCATTCTCAAGGTCGGCGCTCCATTGGAGAGGGGCCGTCGTGCCCACCGTGTGGAAGAGGGATGATGGCGCAGGGGACGAGGCTACGGCGGGTAGCCCAATTACGGTACTTTGTTAAATATTCAGGCCTGGTCCTCCTGCAGAGCTCGCCCTGCTCGTGCGGGTGCACATGGACCCGTCCGCCAGACATTCGACCCCCGACGTTCTGCGTTGGGCATTGGACGAAGGGAAGGCAAACGACGAAGACGAAGAAGGCGTGCGCCATCGAGGAATAGCGCGCACCTCCGTCACCTCCTTCTCCTACTCCTGCGAATCCCGCTGTCTCTGTCCCTGTATGTGTATGCTGGCCCTTATTCCAGCACGCCGCTGACCCCGTACGCTGTCTCACGCGCGTATACACACCACGTCAATGTGTCCGCGTCAACTTCTGCGCCCAGGAGTTATAGGTGTATACTTCATTGGATGTCCACTACAACGACCATTGCTCCAACGCATCCCCTTCCTTCAATGACCCCCGCGTCGCCACACCAGTCGATGGGTCAAGATGGTAGGATGTGCAGGACGCGTAGGATCCGCCTCGGCTCTTGGACATTATGCGCTAGACGGTATGTTTAGCGTCAGGAGACCTCGCCAAGTCTTCAACCCTCAAGGCCTCACCCTACGCAACGCTTCACTCACCGTGGTACGACATCTGGATGAAGATGCCGATGCTGGCATAGCGATGCAGGTCCCAAGTATCACGCGCGAGGCTGCGCCACGAACGACCAAATGTCCCATCCCATCCAATCCCCTTCGTATCTCCCCGCCAGTCGCTGATGCTGGTGTCGAGTTCTGTAGAAGCAAAGGTCACCTCACTTGGTGGAGTTGGTGCACCTTTGTATGTCTGGGCCGAGAACCTGACGACAGGACGCCATGGGACCCGCAGTACATTAGTACGCGAAGGTAAAAGGGATAATAGAGGCACTTGTTTGTTCTTTCATTCGGCATTACATCCCTCTGCCGACTATCCAGCTGCGTGCGAGCGTTCGAAACGACGTCGTGGTTTTTGGTTCACGTCCTCAATAACCGCCAAAATCGAGTGCCTGAAGCGACGGTCGACTGCGCTGGTGCTGACAAGGTTACGTGTCGAGAGTGCGCTGCGCAAATTGGGAAAAGGGGGACTCGAGGGGGATACGGATAGGAGGGAGGAAGAGGGAGGAAAGTAAACCCGTCGCTCCCCTTCTCCCCAAGTAACCTCGCCATTTCATTGCTACCCAACGCCCCTCCCTCAGCAGATACTCGTTTGCGAGCGCACTAGGATTCCACGACTTGGGATGTGCGTAAAGTCTCCAGATCGCAAGAGAATGGCTGGATGCCCCGCGTGTCGGGGATATGCCGTAGAAACATGCGAGGACGGCGCAGCGGCTCACAGGCAAGTGTGCCGCCCGAGAACGAGGGTTCTCACATTTGCTGTGCGCCCCCAACGCCCAACGACGTAAAGTCGAGACATCCCATGGAGTGACGTGTCACGCGTGTGTAGAGCGAGCCCCTGTGTCATGTCGTACTCCGAATGGGTCGGGGAATTGGGGGAGCATGCGGCTGGAGGGAGGCGACAACCTGACGATGCGCGCGGTGGGAGCAGGAATCGATGGTGGGCCGAACGCGCAGCAGAAGAGATCCAGCGCGGTGTCCGCGACGTCTGTGGGGAGCCCGCCTGCGACGACGTGCTCGAGCAGACACGGGGAAGACCTCGGGGGCCCTCTACGCCGTCAACGCCTGCCCCCGGAGGAGGAGGAGGCCGTTGACAGGAACACTGGACAGGCGGTCACGCTCGCCCTCCTCCATACACGCGTACGTGCTTCCAGCTCTACCAGCTTGGGGCATTCCTCCCACCACAACCATATGGTGGCGAGGAAGACGAACATGCAAGTTCTCGATGTAGGTGAGTAGATCCCGACCTCAACAATCTCCGATATCAGTCTCAGCAGACAGTCCAGGGACAATTATATGACGCCAGCGGCGCGAGTGTGCGCAGCCCAACACCTCCATGCCTCAACATCGACACCCAACAAGCCTCTCGATCCCAAGTTTCAGGGAGGGCTCTGTGCCGAAGTTTCTCAGCTTACGGCGTGTCTTCCAGAGGTAAACGAGGTGCGCACCAACCTTGCAGAATGGTCAGGGGACAACGAGACGGGTCAACACAAGTAAAGGCCATCAGGTCGTAGAGCTACGGGCGAGTAGAATGTAGCCTTGGGGTGGCCCTCTCAGCGCAGCGAAGAAGATGAAGAGAGAAGAAGGAGGATACGGGGACATTCGGGCTATCAATCTTACAAACTCACAGCTAACTTCAGACCCAAAAGCGGGTCCATAACTCTATAACACGTGGACTTCCTCGGCCTGATATGTCTGCGAGCCCCTCTACTTGCAGTTAACCCCTATGCATGATGCTCGGCGTCTGCTGTTTGACCGCTTGGCGTGCAAGGAGGGTGTCATGCGCATCCCAGTCGCCAGAGCCTTAGTGCGTTCTTGGACTTTCGCTTCCACCCCGCCATCCCCTTAAGATGTTGCTGTCTTCGACGCCTTCAGCGGCTATACTACGCTGCTGATGGATTCCATAGACGTCAGCACGTCTAGATTCCCAACGTTTGGGCCCTCAATGGATGTCTGCGCATCCAGTGCCAGGATGAATATTCAAATTCGAACTGATGTCTACGTATACAATATTGCATTGACATAAGATTAGCTGTCTGGGGAGACCCATGAAGACACAGGATGCTATTGTGCATCACCAAGTAGGAGTGACCACCTCCCCCAACCCGAGCACGAAACGCAAAGCCAAGGTGCTATCTTGCAACTGGAGCCAATGCCCATGGAAGGAATATTCCGGGCCCGTTGTCGCCGATATCCTTTTATTGACGTAGTCAGTTGCTGCCGATGAGTACCTTCTATTCTGAGATAGATATACAACTGAGTCGATGAGAAAGAGGAAGAGAACTTGGAATGCATCAGGACTTGTCCTTCGCATTTCTTGCTGCCACGATCTCCATCTCTTGTTTGTCATTGAACTCAAGCAGTTAAGAATGCAAATCGTCCCCTAATAAGCGCCACATTGTAAGGGCAACCTCAAGATGGCCGCACAGTGCAAGCCTAGCAGAGGGAGAATCCAAAGAAATGAATAAGACTAACTACAATACATGAGAGAGCTGCTCACCTAGCAGAGGGAGAATCCAAAGAGAACATGATGGGGGTTCTCCATGCTATGGTGCTATTCACCTAGTCACCGCAAAGTTGGAACAGGTGCAAAATCACCCGGTGAAGCCAGGAGAAAAATTATTTAGTAGCCGGGGCAGAGGGACGATGCAGGTTAGCTCGGGACTGCTCAGGAGCGCTGCCAAATGTTTGAAATATTGTACCGAAATGTAAGGAACAATGTGTAGCTAGACAAGTTTTCCTTGGGCACCCCATCCACCGACGAAAATCATCCCTATGTCTCGCAAGAAAAAGGCCATTCTCGTAGCTGCTGCCCGTGCTCGCGAAGGCCGCCAAGATAGGCGGCATGCACCCGGCCCACCCATCAGTGCCAACACCCCCGAGGTCATTGCAATCTTGAGCGACTCCGACACCAGATCTTGGGATGGTGGTGTAAACCACACACCGACATCCGACAGTGAATTCTGCTGGACGGACTCAAGCACCGACATTGATTCCGCTGAGGAGTTGACGGATCTGGATGCAGAGGAGTTGATTGAGAAGATTGAGGAAGAAATGCGGAAGCTGAACTTACCAGCGCCGCTCGCCATCATCATGCAGTCCGTGGGGAACACAGAGGTTTGGAAAAAGGCTGAGAAGAACCGTAACCACGGTTATACTGGACAGTCAATCCGCACCCAACAACTGCATGCACAGCAGGCCCGAAAGAAGGAGGTGAAGGATAAGGTTTTGCGCAAGAGGTGAGTGACTTTTCGCTTTCAGAAACAACTGAAAAACTTACTGGTGAGCCGTTAGCAATGGCGCCAAACTGATGTGTACGTTTCTCGTGCAAGGAAAGCAGAATATATCCTCTCCGCCAGCGGCCCTGCCTTTGCCACCTTCACCAAGCCCAGTCCCAATAACAACTCCCCCCACAGCCAGTGGTACATCTCAGGCCGTTTCCTTGGCCCAGAGCAGAGATCCAGACACCGATACAATCTTCACTGGGTACATGTCGGACAACTCAGAGCTTGACAGTATGGACGATGGTGGCAATGATGGAGATGACAAAAGCGAAGGATTGGGTGGGGAGGGTAGTGTCAGCAGGGACAACCAGATCGATGGAAACGCAAACTTGCCTGTACCCGCATTGGCTTGCGACGAAGCCGATTTTCCTATACGTCCTCCGCCACCACTGAAACGGCGCAAGCTCGAGGTACCCGCACGAGTGACCAAGGCTCAGGCCCGCGGAAATCGTCAAACAAAGCTGGAATCCGCTCTCACCGACATCACAAAGTTGCTCAAATCTGAGCGCATGGTTTTCCATGCAGGGAAAGCTGGCCTGGAAGCTTTGCGTGCACGCGCAATCCAGAGTTATCTTTGTATGGTCCTCAAGAATCAGCGTCGCCGAATTGACGCATCAGAACGGTCGGCGGAAAGCCAGGGCTTTGCAGTCAAGCATGGTGGGCGACAGGTGCGGTTGTGGACGAAGGAGTGGGTGGAAGGTCGAAAACTCCCATCATCACAGCGTGGGCGCCATGGGAAGTCATTCTCGTTCCTCTCCGACCCTGCGGTCCGTGCTGAGCTGCGCTCGTACGTTCGCTCCAATAAATGGGCCATGGATCCGAAAAAGCTGGCGGACTTCAGCGCCAACAAACTCGCTCCTGATGTTGCTGCGAAGTATCTGCGGGAGATTGTTCACAAGGAGATGCCCGCGGGTTTGAAGCGTTATATGGAGGTCGAGCTCTTCCCGCACATCCATCTTAAAGTTGCAAAGGGAATCTCCTATAGTACTGCTCATCGCTGGCTGCGCAAGGAGGGGTTTGACTACATCGAGCATCGGAAGGGTCTTTATTACGACGGGCACAAGCGACCGGACATTGTCGATTATCGGCAAAATGTGTTCCTCCCCGCTGTAAGGGGACACTCCCATTTTCTCCTGTTTCCCCCTGTCCCGCCCCCTTCCTCCTCGTCCCTTTCCTCTTTCTTTCATTCCCTTTCCTTTCCTTTCCTTTCATCTCCTTACCTTCCCGCTTCCCTTCCGTTCACTCCCTTCGCATCCGAGCCCCGTCCGGTGACTCCGAAGTCCTCCCGGGCTTCGGACTCACCTCGGACTCGCTCGGACACTTCGGATACGCTCGGACTCGTAGATACACTTCGGGGCTCGTCCGGGCTACCTCCATCCTCTTCTCCCACTTCATTACTCCTTGTCCCCACTTCCCCAGGTTGCTGGCACAACTCCTGTACATTCCCCTTCCACTTCATTATCACATGCCCCCTCGTACCTTGTGATATTCGTCCGTACCTGTGGCTGGTGTACTGTACAGTTACCCTTCATTCCTCCCACGCTACTACAGTATATACTTCGCTTCCTAGCATGGAGAATCCCCATCCTGTTCTCTTTGGATTCTCCCTCTGCTAGGCTTGCACTGTGCGGCCATCTTGAGGTTGCCCTTACAAAAGCGCGGGAAGACTTCGGAGTCACCGGACGGGCTTGGATGCGAAGGGAGTGAACGGAAGGGAAACGGAAAGGTAAGGGGACAAAAGGAAAGGAAAGGGGATGAAAGGAAAGGGGAAAGGAAGGAGGAGGAAGGGGGCGGGACAGGGGGAATAGGAGAAAATAGGAGTGTCCCCTTACACAGATGGTAGGAAATGGGTACAGAAACAGACGGGGGCACCTTTGCAGGATTAGAAGGTTGAAGGAACTGTCAACGGGGTGATGGGGTGGGATGGAGTGGGGAGAATGGTTGAGGTTGAGGGGAGGATGGATGCAGCAAGAAAGTTTTGAGTTGGATCGTGCAGAACTGCTGGTAGATGTTTATCGTCTAAGATCATCATTGCGTCAGTGTAGATTTTCACCAGAAAGGTTTACCAAGCGCACCAGGAGAGATCATGATCTCATGTCTCTTTGTTCATATTTGGAGGAATTGGACTTCATCCTGTAGCCTAATCGGTATTCTCGCATTAGGCTGTGGACCAACCTCTATATCAGGAAGGAGGCTGGTTCTAAGGGTTGCTTATCTTTGTTCTTGATTAATCACCACAAAACTCTCGATATTACGTGTCAACTCCAGACAGCCATGGTTAAAAAACGAAACACTGGCCTGTCTGCAAGCAAACAAAGGAGTGAAGATGATGCTGCTATCCTGGTTGCAAAGAAGTCAAAGCAGAATGGAAAGCAGGTGGGTACGGCAGACATAGCCCCTCTCTACTGTTAATAATGTTGCTCTCCTAGTCCTTAGGAGAACAGAGTATGGAAGTGTATATACACCTGACTCCGAAGGTCCGAGTATCCAAAAGGCGCGTAGGGGGCTCCTAAGGGGTGTGAGGACTAGTATATGACAACTTTCCCATGAGGCCTGAATCCCTTTAGAAAGCACTTAAGAGGGCCCCTGTTTTGACTGAGGACCTACGACACGGTATATGGTATTCAACCTCCAACTCAATGGGCATGACAATGAATCCATCACCCAAACCTCTCAGGGGACCACCCTTCTAACTCTCTTCACAGATTCCCAGTTGCGGGACAGGTCAAAGGTGGTGGGGGGAATTGCTGTCCAATGGAACCATATCCTCTTGGTCATGCCATTCCCCATGGACAAAGCTATGATTCGACTTTGCAGAGAGTACACCATTCTCTTTGAAAAAGCAGACTTCATAAGGCCCAATGACCCTGAGGCCCCGCTTCATATCACACATGAGCATCTGGGGAGAGTGTTTCTTTATTCACCATCTTCTACAAGGTTTCTGTTTCTGGGCCAAATTTGGCACAAAGGGCCAAGTTATCACTTCCACTCGTCTTGCCAATGCTTTATTGGCTTCCCCTTTTACCTGGCAATGAACAACACTTACAGTAAAGGGAACAACCTAGACCACCCTGTGGAAATGGTGGAACCATCTTGTTCATGTCACCCTGACAACCATGAAATAATTTGTTCTCAAAGTTTACTTACTTCATCCCCATCCTAGATCTGCTTCTACTTCTCCATGGAGAACCCTCTTCCCAAAGCCTCCACACTGTCCACTCCCACCCCACACCCGTCATCTCCACGCCTGTCCTCCTCAATCCTAATTCTTTGTGGAACCCCACTCATATTCCTCTGGATGTCTCGAAGACCATGCTTTGTCAGGCAGCCCATAGGGGATACTTGCATGAATCTGATATAACACTAGTCCGCAAGTCCAAAAACTCCACCCCCCTAGGCAACAATGTGGTGTTCATTGTCTGCTGTTATCTGGCCTGACACTTACAGATTACTAAGGGGATCTCAGTAAGCTCTGCACAAAGCATTTCTCATAATTCAAGTACTCATACCTTTCAGCCTGTGGTTGATGACAGTTTTGGTATAGGAGGGCCGACACAGTCGTTCTTGGACTTCACAATCAAATACTGTTTGGCCTCTTGTTGTCTTTTGGCATTTTTTGAGTCTTGTGGGACAGATTTGGATAAGGATCTTTATACTCAACCTTCGCTTGCATCTAGTGCCAAAACTCATTCGGCTTTGAAAGAATGGGATCAGAGAAAAGCCATGAAAGAGGCTGATGAAGATGAAGATCATCATCATCATTATCACCACTCCCTTCATATTGTTCTTCTTAAGGATATTGCACACAGTTTGTGTGGAGACAGGGTCACTGAGAACTTTGTTCAAGTTTTTGGTGACCTGAACAGCATTCTCAGCTTTTCCAGAGTTGATTTGGCTGATAATTGCTCTCTTATCAGTGATAGTAAGCTTCTTAAGATGTCCACCCACCAGGATTTCCTTGTCAGAAATTACCTGGTAAGCTACCCTAGAGACAGTAGCTGTACTACAGCCCAACTTGGGAGCAATCTTGGCCTGAGAATGGCTGGTATTCAGAAGGGCGGAGGTGATATTGGTGTGAAGGGAGTTGGGAATGGACTTCATTGTTGTAGGGAAGATGAACAGCTGACAGAGCTTATATATTACAGATTAGATACCAGATTAGATAGACACAATTCATCACAGATTAGACATCAGATCTGATAGATACCATTGATCACAGATTAGATATCATTGATTCCAGATTAGATAGACATAGATCAGATAGTGTTATCAGGGCATTGCTTGTTGGGCGCTTTTTTCAAATGTGAGCATGGGAAAGAACCTCAAATAGATCAATAGAGCTTGTTAGTGTGGGAATTTGTCTGTAATAGCTGTTAGAACCCCTTTTTTGATGTATTGAGCATGAGAAAAAATTTCAAATACATTAATAAAACCTTTTATTGTGGAAACTTTTGCATAGTAGTAGGCTCGTGAACCATCCGGCCTGACTAATCACCATCATCCTTGTGATTCCACACTCGATGGCCGTCAGGCCGGCTGGGCACGCATGGCGTCGTTTTGGCTGAGGGCTTGGTTCCCCAGTCACTTCAGAGAGGCGACTTAGAAAAGATACCCTCCATATGTAAAAAAAGTGTCAAAAGTCAATATATAAAAGTTGAAGCTAACGAAAAACTGAGTTGATTAATATACACAAGTTTGGAACTTTTTTTGCCATATAATCTGCATACGCAACAGACTTAAAGATGGCGGCGCTTGTTATTGTGACCAGAACTCGGTGCTGAATCAGTTTCTACAGGCCGCTTACTAGACGTAGATGGAGGTATTGGAGAGGAAGTGCGATGAACTGAGTTGAAGCTCGGCTGTGAGGGCATATATTGGGGATATGGATAGTAGGATGATTGAGCTGCTTGTGCATATGAGGTCGTTGCAGTCAACAAAGCACCTGCACGATACGGAGGCTGCCAATGCATTGAAGCTATTTCTACAGCAGAATGTGTCCAGGCCTGAGATATGGATTATGAACTATTGCAGGCGTATCAATGTGCGGACCTGACGTTGCCGAAAGTACCTGTGGACCTGGTACAGCAATACCACTGTTGCAGGGACGATGGGGCTCGGGGGTGAATGGTAACACCACGGGTATAGGATGGTAACTTGAGGTGGGTGCAGGTCCAACTGCGCTGGGTGCGCTTGCTGATGCAGTGTTGGTGGACAAGGCTATGGTGGACCCAGTGGAATTGGTGGCAAGTGGAATCGGTGATGCGCTAGACAGTAGTTGGGTGTGAAGAGGTGCATCTGTGGTTGGTACACGGAGATCAGGCCATGATGTAGAAAGGAAGTGCCAAAGCTCATGGCCCAATGTGTCGTAATGTGACCAAGAATGTTCCATCAAAGCACGAAGTTGGGGTGGCAATGGACATTTTCCAAGACTTGCTAGACGTTCGCAAGTATCATTGTCCAATAGACCACTCGCTGCAAATGGCTGCCGTGAGTAATATCTTGCTTTCATATGGCCACGCCAAGCAATCAAGGTTCGAAATATGTCCTCATTGAATGAGCCCTTCCTGACTGGCGGTTTTCTTGTTGACACCATTGGCAACGGAGGGCGGGCCAAATCAAAAAGCTTTGGATTGCAGATATCACAGCATTGGTCCGATGAGACATCTTACAATTCAGTTAGGCTGTTGAATATGACAAAATGCTTGAGACACAACACATACCTGGCATAGGATTTCCAAATATGACGCAGAGAAACCGCCGCCGGCAACAAAGGGTTTGGATGTATGCATGAAGGCCTTCGGCTGGTGCTGAGTCACCTACTGGCGGTATGTCAATGACCTGCGTGATGACATCATGGAGACCACTGTGAGACCCTCACAAGTGCAAAGGATTGGTGCTGCCTCGAGGCTTCCAAGTTGATTGGCCTTGACCACCTTGCTGCCCACGTCCTCGAGCTGAATTTCCATGACTGCGTGTAGAGCGTTTGGATTCACTGGTGGTCGGTTGCGGAGAGGACAGGTCATAGTCAAATGCAGACTTCTCAACAATCATGATAGCAACACCGGATGGAATGGCACGAGCTGCACGTCCTAGCCTCTGAACCCAAGATGACAGAGTGGCGGGTGCTTTCCATTGGACCACAATATCAACATCGCCTATATTACAGCCCTAAAATCCAACAGTAAGCTATATGTAATGCGAAGTATGATTTATATGCCATACCATTCCTGCCGCATCTGTACAGACCAAAATGCGGACAATACCTATCCTGAAAAGCTCCATGACTTGCTGTCGGTATTCTGCAGACATTGCAGCATTGTAAGGGCGAACCATGCCCCAGTTGTGAAACCGCAACGGCAACCGATCGTTCAAATAGTCGGTTATTCCCGTTCCTGCCTTCACGTCATCTGAGTAAACAAAACTCTTTGGAATCTCTGTAGCTGCTTTGACTGTTGCAGTGACCAGGAACTCGAGATCGCGAAAAGAGTTGAGGGGATACTCGGCGGCGCGGACTACCTGAGAAATATTTGCTCGATCGTTTCCTATATTGATGAACTTGTATGTTTGTTGATCGTATTGCAACTTCTGAACAATGTCCCTACGGACACGAGGAACAAGAGTCGCGCTAACTGCAATCACAGGAATCTGCTTTGGTAGAAAGGCTCGAACGATGGCGATTGATCCATATTTCTTGCGAAATGAGTCTCCCCAGTGGGAGATGCAATGCGCTTCATCGATAAAGATGGAAAGGACTCGCGAGGAAAAGGCCGGCTTGCGAAGTACATCATCTATAAAGCGCCGTGATAACAGCATCTCTGGTGAAAGGATGAGGATAGAATATCTGCCTGATATAATATCCTGTTGATCGGTTGATTAGCAGTCACCTACAAACAGACAAGTTCACGTACTGCAAGCAAGGCTCTTGAAGGAGTTCTGCTAGAGCTGTTTATTGCAATCGCGGCTAGCCCAAATTCTTTTGCAAACGTCACAACCTGATGCCAGTGGTTAGGAAAGAGGCATGGGTCTCTACACTTCCGCCACATGCCTGTTCATCTTGAAGCGCAAGGAGCGGTGATATCATGATCGTGATTTTCCCTTTGCTGGATGGAAGAAGGTGGGGGCCTGCTGCAATGCCTGTTTTCCCTGCACCGGTTGCAGCATGGAGAAGGACATCAACGCCGAGGATTTGAGCCTCCATTGCCTCCAGTTGGAATGGCTTTGCGCCCGTCCGCCACAGTACGAACCTCTCTTGAATGAGCAACGGTAGTGAGAGTAGTTCTTTTCGTATTTGCGCACGGTCAGCCTTGTGTGGCAGCATCGTTGAGAGAGGGTGCTGGCTTCCTGTATTACTGCATAGATTTGAAGGAGACGTGAAGGCTAGAAGCAAAAGGCAAACAGGGGCTTTAGTGACACCCATCATAGGAGTCAAGCCATGCAACGGTCAAGTCTGCCACATTCACCTCAGTAATGTGTGACGATAATATGCTCAACAACTTACCTCCATCTTCGCCTCCGCCAGACTATGGTTCTGATGTCTCAGATGGGACTATGCTGCCTATCGCAACTTCCGATGATATTCCACTGGCTGAAGCGTTCAAACAATTCTCCTCCACCACACTGATTGGAGAACAGGCGCTCACATCAGAGGACATACCATTGGCTCGCCTTCACGGCAGTGGCGACCACATCTGCGATGAAGAAATCACAGAAGATAGGGGAATATTGACAGATACATCCTTGTTTTCGGAGGACACTGAAAGAAAAGTGCTCGCTGCTCGGTCCGAGGTACGGCGGCAAGAAGCACGCACAGCAAGCAAGGCCAATGCTGCAAATGAAGAGTTGAGGAAGGCTAAGGAAGAAGAGGCACATATCACCCTGGCCTGGCAGGAGCACACACTGGCAAAGGAAAAGGTCTTCAACGAAATCCTTGATAGGTTGCGAAGTAATGGCCATACCCTTGCAGAATTTCTTGAGTATGTCTTCAATCCATCACGAAGATTCTCCTTCGACTGGCGCTGGGCAGGGTTCTGGAGAGACCATACAACAGTACGGCAAATCTTTGAGCACTGGTCTTCATCTACATATAACAAATCTTCTCGAACGACATACAACGACATCATTGTTTCACTAGCAGAGAACATAGTTCAGACCGAAAGCCAGGGGATAACCGATTCAAAATTACTTAACCGCACTGTCAAAACTGTCGACGAGGGATTTTTCCTGGGATATGATGTTTGGCAGCTTGGGCGTAAACTCCGAGAGAAAGCACCACTAGCATTTCGGCTATTCAATGCCTTTGCGTCGACAACAAGGCAAAGACAACGTGGTGTGTCGCAGAAATGGGCAGATAAAAAAGAAGTTGTATGTCAATTGCATAGCACATTTGAAGACTGTTATACTTACCTTCACATAGTTGACGACATCCGCTGCATTTACTCTGTTAAAGGCAGCTAGTTCCAACAACAGCTACCCTCAAGCCGTAATTGGTACTTATCTGATGTCGACGGGGGCACAACGCCAACATCTCAGTGTCGCAACTACACTTGGTCTAAGTGTATCATATCCTAATATCATCCATCACGCCAGGAGGGAGAATACCGTGTCTGAGGATACGGACAACTCAGAGGAGTCTGAAGCCATTGACGAGGAAGACTCACCAAGTCCAAGTCAGACGCCGATGCCAACGCTGAAAAAGATTGCCCAAAGGCGTGCACCAGGCACTCTTTCGCAGCTCTCAGATGCTTGCCGGCAAACTGCACGAGATGTTGCGAAAACAGGTCTTTTTGTTACGGTGTACGATAACATCAATATGATGTTTCAAGTAGCTGAGCAAATTCTAGGGCGTAAAAGTGAGTGGAAAATCCCTAGTGGTGATAATTGCTTACCACTATAAGAAGATGCTCAGGAAAACGGTACATGTGCGACCATATTCCCATTGTTTAGGGCAGCAGAGGAGGATATGTCTGCAGAGGCGTATCAACACTCTCTTATGAATGCGCCACCCTTAACGCTAGACGACATTCTCCTTACCAGCTCCGAGCAAGCTCTTCACGAGGCCAGCATGAGGCATACACTCCTCCGAGTAATAGTTGAACACGGTGGCATAGGTTTTGAGAAGTGGAAGCCTCGACTTCAAGAAACACTGCCAAAGTCGAAATCAAAAATACAGCCATTGAAGGGTGCAGACGGGCGGCCACTGCCAATCACAACACCTATACACCCTCTTCCTGCGATGGAGATTGACGAGTCCTCGATTGTCGGCAATGTCGATGTAATCAACACAATTGACAAGGAATTACGGCTGAATCAAAAAGGGGTGAATTACCTGAAATTCGTCCGCATTATGGGAGGAGATCAACTCACAATAGCGCGCCAACGGTCGGTTCTGAACGTACACGCTGGCCACGAATCTGGCTTTCATGCATGGCAGCATGTTGTCCTAATGCCTGGCCTCTTCCACGCAAAAATAGCGGATTGTCATGGCATTCTGGAAACCCATTTTGGCCTTCCTAACGCAGGTCAGCAAAGCCCTGGCTCGCTTTGTTTCCATAATACAGTCATGGACCGCCTACCTGTTGTCCTCTCTTCACTTCCAACATTCCGTGTCGTACGGGACTTGATAACTGTGTCGCTTTACGCCCATATACTCCATTGCCTGCTGCGCGTATCTGGCAAAGCCACCATTGAAGAGTACACCAGTTCTGTAACCTCGTGGGCAACCATAGAAGAGCATGCCAACCAAATCTACCAAAAATTTGTGAATGCAGACGTTGTCACTAAGCTTCGAGACCAACGTGCGGCAGAGGAGCAGGTTCAAGCTCGAGCCATCCGAAAGAAGAAACGGCCAGAGGGGGAAGCACCTAAAGAATATGAGCATATCGCAAAAGGAGACATGGTGTTCGAGAATGGAGTTCTGTTCATACGAGATGCGTTATTGACAAGGGAGTTTGCCGATGCTGTAAAGGCTGGAGACTCAGGGCGGGTAGTGATAATTCTCAAGCTCTGGGCACTAGCATACCGGGGAAGTGGTCGGTCCAAATATGCGCACGAGATGCTGCATGTCATCTATAACATTCAACATCTATGGCCACCAGGATTGATGTGAGCCTTATTATGAGCACGTTACGCTCTCCCACATGTTCGGGTGAAGTTCACCTGAATGGCCGAACAACACCTGAACAACACCTGAACAGAATCCGAACATTGGCTGAATTTCTCCACCAAAACTCTTTTTTTTGGTTCAGATTTTGTTCAGGTCACCTGAATTGTTCACCTGAACATTTGGTGAATTCAGGTGAATTTGACAGGTAATGTTCACCTGAATGTTAGGTGAATTCAGGTGGAATACATTAGTACTACTTCTTGTTGCAGGAATTCTTGAATAATGGCTCCTTTTAAGTGGGAAAACTGTTCAAAGAGGTCAACAATACTTCTTCCTAAGAATATCTTTTACTCTGAACACTGTTCTACTAACAAATAGTATATTGTTACAGTGGGAAAATATCACCCAAAATAGAAGTTGTAGAGCCATCTTTTCCGACTCTGCCGGTATAGATAGGCATTGTGAGGACTTGACTTATTAGTGAGAAAAATGTAAATTACTTGAAAAAACAGGGAAAGTTTTCAGTTTTCTTACTGTATAGACTGTTTAAGAGGTCTACTACATTTATCAGCAGTTGTTTTGTCAATGCTAAACACTCATTATGCTGAAGAAAGAGTTTCCTGATGTTCCCACAGTAACAAGAATTTTCCCATGGTCAGTATTAAACTTAGTGAATACTTTTGGGGAAGACCAAGATACTTTTTGCAGGGTATATCAACCTGGTTATATGACTATTTGTAGAATTCTCATGAGCTACTTTCATTGTTCTGCAGTAGTTGATAGAAATAGTAGAATCACATAGAAATGACACCATGGATGACAACCATATTGATGAGACCATATTCAGGTGTTGTTTGTATGTGGTTCAGATGATGTTTGGGTAATGTTCATATAATGTTCAGATAATGTTCAGATAATGTTCAGGTGATGTCCAGATGCTGCTCAGATGACATTCATCTGACATTCAGATAGAATTTGGATGATCTCTGTTCACCTGAACATCACCTGAACATCACCTGGACACCATCTGAACATTATCTGAACCTGAACAAAGGCTACAAACAGAATCTGAACATTATCTGAACATTTGGTGAAATTCACCTGAACAGTATCTGAACAATACCCGAATACCCGAACATCACCTGAATGTCAGATGAACATGTGGTGGACTGCAACATACACCGAGAGCGAGGCCTCGCAACGCTCTAGTACCAAACATGCGGCATCGGTAGTTTCCAAGTAAAAAAAGCGATGTAAAATCCCCGTAGTTCCTTGGAGAAAGAGGTAAACCTCATTCTCTTTTCGAAGTTGGCCAGTGTTCCAGGGTCAAGCAAGGTCCAACCTGGGGGAGTAAGTCTCCTTCACACTTTTCTTATTGCGCACTCCTATCATTATGAAACTTGAACTTAAAGGCGCCTTAGCGCCCATCACGTGCTTCCAAATTCTGCGAGTGGCTTACTTATTTTCTAGGAATTTGCTTCTTCCGAGTCTCCCTTTTCCTTTTCCTTGGTCTTCTTCCAGCACCTGTCATGAACGTCCTCCACAGTTGGGAGATGACGGAAAGACTTGTTGTTGACGCTATCAAGTTCGCCACAAGTGACGTGACCCAGAGAGGTTTCTGCCTTCCTTTCCTTTCTACTTCTTTGGAGCTGGTACGTGGAAGAGGTAAAGGATTGAGTCTCGGGGGTATGTTAGGCACTTCGTTTTTTTCAGAGTAGCACTTATCTTGCATATACAGTCTTACGGTCTCTTCCCCAAGATGGGGAACTTGAAGCCCCCCTCAAAGAAATCGATTTCCCTCTCAAAGGATCCGTTCTGTGGACAAAGGACGAGCTCTTGGCCTTGACAGGTCTGAGCTGTGTTATTTGTCTGGAGAACAGAGTTTCCTGAAGAGAAAGGAGTTAGATTCAGGTTTACGCGCACAAACTCCCTGGGAGATCTGCCTGACCTTCCGACTCAATCCCTTATCCTTCTACCGCCGGATCTCAAATACCTCTACTCAAGTACTTTTACCTTTTTAAGACCATACTGGCTCGTGCAGTATCCTCTGGGGTAGTTCCCTCCTGGGGATTAGCAGGGATCGGCCTACCATGATTTCCCAGTGACCTACTGTGATTGTAGTTTTAGGTCGCAGTCACCCAATGGTTGTGGGCATCCTTGCACTCTCGCTTCTCTCTCATCGACGTGAACATGCCCCTCTTGTTGTGCGAACCCAATCTTTTACTGCTGTGTCTGCTCGACCTGCCATGACACTGATCTTAGTAACCCTGGGTCAAAGTCACCAACGTAGTTGTCCAGGCAGTTGTTCACGTTTGCCTCGCTCCCATCCCTCGACTTATGCACCAGTGTCAAGGGGTTAAGGGAGACCTTTCCTATAGTGATCGACCTCGCTGCCGTGACAGCCCTTGCATAGATCTGGTTCCTACTCCCCTTGTTATGGAACCCCTACTTGGTGACCTAGATCCTGTTCAAATTCATCACACCGACGACGTGGTGGAGGGAACAGTCCAGACATGGATATCAGGATGACTGGGCCCACCAGGCACATGATCACTCTCTCCCGAACTCTGTGAACTCCCTCTCGAACACATCTTACGCGCTCTGCTGGTGCGCTGGAGTGCAGGGTCACCCTCATCATTACCCCTCGTTCAACGCTGATGCCACTCGCCAAACACGAACGTGAAGGAAAGTTACCCATGCCTTCTGCCTCTCTACCCAACATACGTCACTCATGGTACTTCGACGCTGTCATCTATTCAACATGGCACCTACAACACCCAATGGCTACTGCAAGCTACATTCAACCTTGCCCTTCCACCACTCACCGTGTCACGTCCTCGTTCCCTCTCACTCGTGCCATCCCACATGTGCCATCCCACATCTCCACGGCTCGAACGACTCGACGACCCAAGCACTGTACTGCTAACTAACTACTCCACATCTCTCCACTCCCAATCTCTCCCCTCTCCTCTGATCCCCCCCGCATCCTTCCCCAAGCCCATCCCCTCCCTCTAATCCGACTATCCACTACTCTATTCTACCCCCACCAGCTCGCCCAGCCCTGAAATCCCTCGACCATCAATCCGTCCCGTATACACTTGTTCACATCAGGAAAAACCCCCTGGGCTTTGAAGCCCGACAGAAGCTGCCCAGAGCATAAATAAGCTGACAGGAGCCATTAAACCTCTGCAAGCCAACTAAGATTTCAAACAAAGGTTCAACTGGATATCGAAATGTTAAAGCAATCAGAACATAAATGTTAACTCTTTCCCTGAGCTAATCCTAATGTATGGTTTGTTTGACGTCATTTGTCACCTACGAAAGACCCAAAGATTGGAAAGACCCAAAACCTTTCAAATCCTTGAAAGCCACCGAAGCCCTCAAAGCAATCAAACCTGTCCAACCTATCAAAAGATTTCATAGCCATCATTCAACATAGAAATCCATTGCAAGACATGTGAAGAACTTAGTCCAAATCAAAATCTGCCTTTAGTCACCAGAGATCATATCCTGTATGCAAGAGGTTGAAGATGTTGAAGCTTGGAAGTATACCAAAGAGTAGTATTAGAGCAATACAGAAATAATTCACATTGATTTCATAAAATCACCACCAAATTGGTGTTGGCATTTGCATACTGGAGCAGGGCAGAATGGGTATTAGATGACTTTGTATAGTAAGGTAGGTATAGTATGTATGTATGCTGGAAGGAACAGAAATGAAGTGATATCTACGATGCACTAGGGACTGGAGTTGGACTTCTGGAGAGTGTTTGTGAAGCTAGTCCAGAAGCAGAGACAGGGGCAGGTGTAGACGAGGTAGCGGCAGAGGCAGGCACAGATGAAGTACATGATGCAGTACTAGACTTGGAGGTTGACCGGCCAGGGCCTGCCTCTAGGGCGTCAAAATCCACCTCATCAAAATCGTCCGCTGGATCTTCACCGTAGTCATGAGCATGCAAGAATCCTGGCTTGGAAATATTCCTGATATGCAAAGGTCATTTGAAATGAAGGGATGGACGAAAGATGGACAAACATTATATCACGCCATAAAGACTCTTGAAACTTCTTGAACCAGTTTGGCGACTTCTGCTCGACATAATTAAGCCTGGCCATATAATGCTCGTAACTGCAATCACCCTCAGTCAAATCAGAACAGATAACCAGAGTACTATATTACTCACATAGGCCTGACAATGTTTGTCTTGAATTTGACCTCCGTACGGTATCCATCACGATATTCGTTAACTGCATGATGAAGCTTGAACAAAAAATAATCAGTATACGTAGTACTAAAGAGACGAGGTCGGGAAGGGAACTCACAGCTGCGATTACCAAGGCGAGCAGGGCCTTCGGTATGGCCTTAAGCTGCAGCATTTTGCCAAAGGCCATCTGGGTTGTCAGACTGCCTGAGCCGTCAAAGAATACCCTTCGAATAACATCAGCTATGGCACTGTTGCCAAAAGGAGCTTGAGCGTCAAAGCTTCGCTTCTAAATGAAAGTTGTGATTCTCATATCCAAGTGAGAATAAGAAACAAACTCACCAGAGCGTTCACTTCAGCGTAATGAAGGTGACCCTTTTCCAACAGAAAGGCTACCTTTGATTTAATGCTGGATGCGTCTGAACCTGGGCCAAGAAACCGATAGTTCCCAGGCGCCAACAAGGTGGCACGATCCTTCACGGCATTCCTCATCAATGGTCCCACGTAGCTGATCTAAGCATCAGAGGGACGGTGAAGAGGGAAAGATAAGCTGGAAGGTTTCTGAAGGGAGAGAGACGACATTGAACTTACATAGGTAATCAACATGGCTTTGATATCTTCATCATCATCGCCGTCATCCAGCTCAGCCTCTTCCAGACCGTCGAGGTACTTGATCTCATTGGGAGAATCACATGTACTACGTACTAGGTCCCAGATGAAGTTATTGATGTTGCGTGGGAAGGCTTCTTGAAGACAGATGTGACATCGCATGGCTTCCCTAGCCTTGATTGCAATGCGTCGTGC